TGGGCATATGTAGTGGCTAAAACAAAGAAACTGAATTCACCATTACAGGTGTTAGAATGTAAAATGCTAAAAAGTTCATTATAAATGGAGAAGGTCATTAGTATATGCTTTATATTGCATTACAATGCATACAGCAACAAATAACAGGTATAAATGAGATATGACTAAATGTAACAATAACAAAGTAAAAGACTGAAATGTCCTTAAACATCATCCAAAAGGCAGACAAAAACCCCACAGACACAAACCACAAGCAGTGAAACTCTTACATCTGTAAGAGAAAAACCACAAGCAACAACATCCATGCACAAAGAAAATCACTTTCTGAAGATTCCATTTTATTTAGGTTACTTTTCAGATCAAGAATTGTACCTTGTGAAACACCAGATACATTTTTATTTTTGACAAATGTGAAACTACAAATGCAAAGAGTACCACAGTGGAAAATCTTTTTGAATCACTCTTGATCTAGAGCTCACTGATTACACTGATAAGGAAAGTTTCAGTACCATGGGTAAATCTGAAACAGATCGAAAAACATCATGTACTGCTGAAACATAATTTTCCAGTTGTTTAATGTTAATATTTTGCTAATGAAGCTTTGTAACAATTTGGTCTGCAACAATTACAAATGGGTGTCACTGTGTTGTACTCCTGTGATTATGATACCAGGGTGGGTACTGGGACCCTTAATCAGTGTGTTAGAGAGAAAGAAATGTGAAAACCAGGAAATCATATAAAGTATATTGCAAGTATTTACTGTTACATTATCATCTACAGGTTCAATTTAGCAACATCCTGATACATTGAACATGTAACAGTGAGAGGTAAAGGTTTACAAAGAAAACAACCTGAAGGAGGTCTTATTTATGTAGATTGTTTTTGGTAGATAATATCTGCGGTTTGTGCACTTCCTTTGAGGTGATAGTGACAGTTTGCTAATAGACTGCACACACAGGGACTTGAACCATTTTACCACTCTTTGCCAAATAGCTTTATTCTGGAGAGATGAAGCTGCAACTTTTGATTGTCAGTTTTCTGAAGTATTTGCTTCTAACCAATCAAGAAGAAGGAGGAACACAGGTAAATTGAATTCCTGAACTTTTATTTTTCAATTTGCAGTTATGGTATTGGTAAATGTGAGGAAATGATGATGATATGACTAACTCATATGTAAATCTGTTGTCTAAAATAGTCATTTTAAACATTTTAAACTGTTAAAGCTGCATTGAGAAATTTCATGCACTAAAATCAGGTAATTGTATATTGAGGACTTCACTACCCAGAAATGTTTTTGGGTAAAAAACTGCAGTCCATGGAGCTTCTGTTAAATGAACTGTTTTTAATGTCATATTCTTGCTGAGAATTAGATAAGAAAATACCACTTTCATGTCTGTCTGTTATAAGGCTACAACCACTAGCTGAGTCATTAATTTGCATATCATGATTTTAATCAAAATAAAAGCTAAAGGAAGAAAAATATCATTTGTTGAATCATAGTGAGTAATGGGACTATTTCTCGGCCAGGCACAGCGACTTTCAAAAGTTTTAATTAGTGAGCTTTGGAGGTGGCGGTAGGCGGATTATCTGGACAGAGCCACGTGAGCTGCTGGCATTTGGATTACATTGAATGAACAGATATGAGGATGTTTTTGCTTTTCTCATCTAACTCTTGGCAACAAAGCAAAGAAGCATATTTCTCAACATATCAAACTATTCCTTTAAAGCTCTTGAGGTTGAGTAATTTGGGTTTATGGGACAAAACTTTTTTTCACTGAAAGCTATAGTGCCACTATGGCATCACTGAACCATCAGTTCTGCTACTGATTCTTCTTCTACTACTACTTGTACAAACTGTAATATTCTTTTTTTATTTAGCTGCCGACAACAGAGGGATTTGACCTAGAAAATTCTACATTTCCTGAGTATGAAGATGGATCATCTCCTTGCAGTGTAACTGTGCCTGGATTCAATAGCTTGGGCCTGATAATCACCTTCATCATCGTGTGTGTCTTCAGCATGGTAGGCAACAGTGTAGTTGTCTATGTGGTTTGTTATATGAAGAAAGGTAGAGCCAGCACAGATATTTACTTGATGCACCTGGCGATGGCGGACCTTCTCTTCAGCTTTACCCTGCCGTTCTGGGCCGTCAATGTTCATTCTGGTTGGATCTTCGGCAACTTCCCGTGCAAACTCCTGTCAGGCTTTCAGGAGGCATCGGTATACAGTGGTGTCTTCCTGCTGGCCTGCATCAGTGTGGACCGTTACTGCGCCATTGTGAGAGCTACACGTGTCCGGTCCCATCACCTGTTGGTGAAAGTTGTGTGCTGTGTGGTGTGGGTGGCGGCTGGACTACTGTCATTACCCGTGGCAATTCTAAAGGAGAGCATGCACACTGAAGACCTGGGCCAGGCCATTTGCTATGAAAACCTAACTGGTGAAAGCAGCAACCACTGGCGTGTTGGCATTCGTGTTGTACGTCATACTATTGGCTTTTTCCTGCCACTGGTGGTGATGGCTGTCTGCTATGGCTTGACTTTGGTGAAGCTGTTTCACGCACGTAATCAACAAAAATATAAGGCCATACGCGTCATCCTCGCAGTGGTGATAGCCTTTGTTCTGTGCTGGCTGCCTTATAACATAACTGTACTGATTGACACACTCATGCGAGGCGGATCTCTTAGAGTGGAGACATGTCAATCTCGCTACATATTGGCTGTGATGCTAAATGTGACCCAGTTGTTGGCCTTCTCGCACTGTGCAGTGAATCCAGTGCTGTATGCCTTCATTGGGCAGAAGTTCCGTAACCAGCTGCTCTTAGCTCTTTACAAACATGGCCTCATCAGCAAGAGGCTCCAGAATGCTTACAGGAAGGGCTCTGTCAACAGTGCAGGGAGCACCAGATCT